TCTTTCTTCGCTCCGTCTTCCCCACTCACTCTCCGCGCCGGCGCTTCCCTCTTGGGGACTTACTCACTAACTTACAACTAGAGGCGCGAGTACTTCGGAGCACAGCGCTCTGGGGAATCAGTCGATAACTAACTCACGGATCGGAAACCTTCTCTGGGTAAAGAAGGCCCCGTGTACTCCGTTACAATCCAGATCATAGGAATACCAAAGTCTAATCCAAAACGTTTTCCTTTTTTCCACAACCGCAAAGACTCAAGACAGGACTTACAAACTTTATTCGGAACCCATGATTTATCTAATTTGTCCATTTTAAAACCGAAATATTAAGCCTAAGTCTCCTTAACAAAGTCTGTGATATTTCGTTTTTGTTTTTTTTAATATATAAATACCACAAATAAAACAAAATAAATCATTACTATATTTACACTTTCTTCGTGATGAACTCATGTTTAAAAAGACAAGACAAATGTATTAGAATGAACACTCAGCAATTGAATCTAAATATTAACATATGACAACTTATCCAGATTCACGTGTAAGTACTTCAATATTATCAAATAACTGAGTTATCAGCTGTTTTGCGGAGCAAGGAGTCTGAGAGTGGAGATCAAGTGATGTTTGTATGCGCAAAAAAGTTGCGCAGAAGCTTAATCAGGACTGGGAAAACAAATTTTAGTACTAACAAGCTGATAATTGTTCAAAATATAAGATACGTAAAAATCATAAAAAAAGAGCACATTCAGTATTTTCATGAATATATTCGTAATTTAGGTACTCGAAAACATAAAAATTTGCAAAAATATCCAAGGCAACACAAAAAAATTTTTTTTTTTGTAGAGCTGTGTAATTAACCCACGAAAGTTCCTTGAGCAAAAGATCCTCGCTCTAGGAACTGGGCCGAAAATATATTTATCGTGTAATCAGCTCCTAGGGAATTATCAGCGATTCCTCATCGATACCGGGGGGGATGTATGCCTCATCAATGCATCCGCTTTAAAACCCGAAACTATTATCGACATTGGAAAAGCAAGAAGATTTCGAGGTCTCAGCGACAGTACCTTCGAGACACTAGGAGTAGACAAATTAAAAATTCTAAATATCGAAGTCGAGTTTCAAGTTTGTCGCGAGGATTTACCATTCCCCGGAGTGGGAATCCTGGGAAACAACTTCCTTGAAACCGAAAAAGCGGAAATTTCTTATGATAATCAAACTCTAGCTTTATTATCTCGTCCTACAAAAATAATTTCCTTTAGCCTCGAAACAACGCCTTCCTCAAATTATACGATACCACCCCGTATGAAAATGGTAATAGCAATACCTATCCAAGATTTCGAGAAAAGCGAGGGATACCTCCCTCGAATGGACCTTCCAGACGGAGTGCTTGGAGGAGAGGCTGTTGTTAAGGTAGAGGACGGATATGCTACTTGTATGATTATCAATCTTAATTCGAACTCAGTAGACATAGAAATCGGACCACAAATACTCGAAGAGTTTGAGTTCGATAATCCTAGCTCAGACAGCGATGAGTCCGATGATCCTTTGATAGAAAATTCCAGTCGTATAGTTAATCCGGAAGAACGTATCAAAACGATACTTCAGAAAATTCCTCTAAATCATCGAAAAAAGGATGAAAGAGAGCAAGTCCAAACTCTCATTCGAAACAATCACGACGTTTTTCATCTTCCCGGAGATAAACTAGGCCGTTCTAAAAATTTCACCTGCCGGATAGAAACTACCACCAATGAACCGGTGAGAATAAAACAATACCGATTTCCTCCAGAACATCGGGAAGAAATCGTCAGGCAGGTTGAAAATCTCGAAAAACAAGGGATCATAAGAAAATCTAATTCTCCGTACAATTCACCATTGTGGATTGTACCAAAAAAATCTACTGATCCTTCTATAAAAAAATATAGAATGGTTATCGACTTCAGACAATTAAATAGAATAACCAGGGGGGATGCTTACCCTCTTCCCCTAATTATTGATATTTTAGACCAATTAGGTGACGCAAATTTCTTTAGCGTCTTTGATCTGGCCATGGGATTCCATCAGGTCTCAATGCATCCCGCAGATGCGCCAAAAACGGCATTTTCTACGCCAGACGGACACTGGGAATATTGTTGTATGCCCTTTGGTCTAGAATGTGCCCCGTCTATTTTTCAGCGAATGATGGACTCCACGCTAAGCGGGTTAAAAGGCACAGAACTTTTCATTTATATAAACGATTTAGTTAGTTATGGCAAAACCCTAGAAGAGCATGGGGTAAGAGTCCAACGACTCTTCAATCGATTAAAAGAAGCAGGTCTCACGCTTCAACCCGAAAAATGTAAATTTCTCTGTCCGGAAGTAGATTATCTAGGTCACGTAATAACTAAAGAAGGCATAAGACCAGATCCAAAGAAAGTTTCATCTCTTAAAAATGCCTCACGACCTAGAAATCATACTGAAGCCAGGAAATTTATGGGACTTGCAAATTATAATCGAAGATTCATACAAAATTTTGCCGAAAGAGCTAAGCCCATAACGGACCTTACTCGGAAAACTAAACCTTTTGTATGGACAGAGGAAGCACAAATGGCATTTAATGATATCAAAAATGCTCTCTGTGAAGACTCTTTCTTAAAATACCCAGATTTTAACAAACCCTTCATCCTAGCTGTCAGCGCGTCAGACTCGGGAATATCCGGAATCCTCAGTCAAGCGACGACAGTGGGGGACGATGACCTAGAAGGAGACGGAGAGAAAATAGTGTCATGTGTCTCGCGAGTCTTTCACGACACAGAAACACGATATACTGACGTAGAAAAACAATGCCTCGCGGTAGTATATGCGATTCAACAGTTTAGACCGTATCTTCAAAAACATTTTACTTTAATAACTAGTAGCCCTTGTATCACCTGGTTAAGAGATAGCGTAACTTTCACCGAAAGACAAGCCAAATGGCGCTCTCAGTTAAGTAGATACCAATTTAACGTCGTAGTCCGTCATAAAATCACGGAACAATATGCGGAAGGGCTCTCGTATAACCCGGAAGGACGCCAGGAACCTCAAAAACATCCTATAAACGATACTACCGAAAATCATTCGCTAGGATTACCAATCTCTGCATTACCAAAAACAAAAAAATCGAATAAAAAGCTCTCCGACGAAGAAGCGATTCAATCAGTCAAACGCCCCGGTCACCCTCTCGGGTCTAAAAATAGGCCAAGAGTAAGTAGCGCTCCAGAAGTAAGAGAGACGATTGCCTCTCGTCTCAAAAGAAGAGAATTAGGTAAAACGCGAGTCCCACCAAAAATAAATTATCGCGAAACCGGCAGACTGGTTATAAACTCAGAAGATCCCGAGTCACAAGAAACTGCAGATGAAGAACAGGGGGACGACGAAGTCTTCCTACCAGTCCCCATCTCAGGACCATCCACGAATAATCCAACTCCAGACGTTGGAAAAGAGGGGGACGATGAAGCGGAGAAAGATGATGAAACCGAAAAGGACAACGAAACGACCGTTCCACAAAAACAACGGCGAAAAACTCGCGAACTAGTAAAGATGTTCGATGAACTCCTCCAAAAGCGGCCTCCATCGGAAAATATCTATACAGAGAGGGCTCTAGAAAGAATCCGCAGAGAAGAAGCAATATCTAATTATACTCCCCAAGAGTACGCCGAAATAAAACGAACTAGTTCCGACACCCCGAAAAATATTCGCCAATCACTAAACAAACTTCCACCTCTCTGGCGAAATGAAGAAGACTCGTTAAATGAAGACACCGCACCAGAAATTAATGTCGACGAATTTTTGAGAGACAACAGCGACCAGTCCGAAGAAGGATCAAGCAACATCAGTCCAGAAGAAACCGGAGGAATTGAAGATCCCAGCGAAACAGAACTTCCTATCATCATAGAACCAGAGCCTTCGACTTCAGTCAATAATGTAAATACGAGAAATAAAAATAATTTAACCCCTCAAAACGCAAATCGATCGCGATTCACCGGATATTTAGGCGACGGTCCAGAACCCCGAACTCCAATATTCGGAAGAGTTCTCATTCCTGACGAATTAGCGGCCATGGGTATACGTTACGACTATGCAAGCGGCCAAATCGTAGACGAAAACGGTAAGGGAGTAAATGAAACGGCCGAAACCGAATCGGCCGACCCAAACAACACCCTTATTGAATCGGAAAGGGGACGATCGAGCGAAAAATCGCCAAATATAAGTAAATTAATAAATTCACAAAATAATAATAATAAAAATAAATCGCGCAATAATTCGGAAAATTCTAGCGATCCGGATAAATCCGACGATAGACCGACTACAAGCGGGAATAAAACAGTGGGGGATGATGTAGGGAACCATCGATTCGGTCCACCATTTGTCGCCTACGATCCTCCAACATTCGAAGAAGCAGAGGATATTTTCGCCGAAAGACATCATCGGCCAAAATTATCTTCACCCTCGAGTTCCGATGAAAATGTACCGCCGAAAAGTCCCGAAATAAAAATAAAATTCTCAATCAGCCGCGATGGGCTTACTTATGCCTGAGATCACTTATTGCACTTTCTAGCAGCTGATTGCGAGATAATAAAACCAGTAGCAAAATTACTCCGTGATTCAAAATTTATAAATGCCGATGACCTCCATGCATCGAAACCTTCAAAGGGAGATGTATTCGTCACCAAGTTAGGTCGTTGCAAAATCTTCACGGTATTTATTAAAACAAAACATTTTGAAAAATTAGATCCAACTGACTTAATCGAAGGATTGAGAAATCTTCGACAATCGATGCACAAACATGATATCCATTCGCTTCGCTGTGCAAAACAGGGGGACGAATTTGACGACCTAGATATACAAGCATATTTATTACAGGAGTTAAGAGATTGTCCGATAACGATTACTTTGTGCGAAGGGAACGTCGAAGTACCAGACGAATCCCTCCGAACAAAAATAATCGAAGAAAATCATAATAGCTTAATAGGAGGCAATAAAGGTGTAGTAAAGACATATTGGCGTATTCACGAGAGATATTACTGGCCAGGAATGAAAGATACAATTTATAATTACATCCGAGCCTGCGAAATATGCCAGAAAAATAAACTCACGCGAATAAAAACGAAACAGCCTATGTCTATTACAGATACACCCTTTGAACCTTTTGAAAAAATTAATATAGACACTGTAGGACCTCTACCCATGACTCCCGATGGAAATGTACATATCTTAACTATACAAGATAATTTTTCTAAAGCAGCCGCGGCAGTTCCTCTCTCCGATATCAGAGCAGTCACTGTTGCGGATGCTTTATTAAATCACTATATCGCTCTTTACGGGTGCCCCCGCGTAATTCTATCAGATAAGGGCACCTCATTTACCAGTAAACTAATACAACAACTCGCTAGAGCTTTAAAAATTCAAAGAATAACAACTTCATCTTATTACCCTCAATCGAATGGATCTTTAGAGAGATCTCATCAGTCCTTAGTCGATTACCTCCGGACCTATGTAGATAAATTTAATAACTGGGATCGGTATATCCCAATGGCAATGCTAAATTATAATACAACCGTTCATACAGCCACGAAATTTACACCTTACGAAATTTTGTACGGAAGAAAAGCTCGTAGCCCAACTCAATTCCCGGATTTCAGTAAAATCGAATCGTATAACGATTATTTAGCAGATTTAATTAGTCGAATATCCGAAATTCAAAGAATATCCGCAGAAAATTTAACTCGAGCAAAACACGAATCAAAAGTACGATTCGACAAACATATTCATCCAGCAAAATTTAAGGTAGGAGATCTCGTGTACACACTGAAAGAACCGAGAAAAAATAAATTAGACCTTTATTATACCGGACCGTACAAAATAGCTGAAATAAATGAAATGGGAAACTTAATTATCGAAAAAGAAAACGGGAAACGAAAATTACTTCACCCGAATAAGGCTAAACCAGCCAGTTGCGAAAAATTTTACTAAAAAGCAATCCAAGTCGTCTGTTTTAGAGCAAGAAAAAAAATCAATCCAACATAAACATTGTATTACTTCTCTTCCTGGGGCTCTTACACCTGTCCTGGGGCTCAGGGGAAGTCCAAAATAAAACCATTGTAGGATCCATTCAAGAAAATCAACTGGTCATACCCGAGAGCCAATAGCCATCAAGAAATGCAGACAGAAATTGAAGAAGTACAACATCAACTGAGACAACTCCTCGAAGATCTACGACTAGAAGAATTCGACCCACGAAACCGCACCAAGAGAGCTCCTTGATTCGGCTTCGTAGGCACAATCACACGAGAGCTGTTCGGAACCATAGAAACATTAAACATTAATCCAGCTACAATCATCGATAAATTCGAGCCATGAGGCCAAGGGCTAGAAGAAAATAAAGAAAAATGTCACCCATAGCCCTAGACCACAAAAAGAAGAAACCAATCGTAAATGAAGACCAGGGGGACGACGAAATCTTCCTACGAGTCCCTACACCAGGATCAACTACGAGTAATCCGACTTTAGACATTGGACAAGAGGGGGACGATGAAGCAGAAGTCAACGAACCACTTCCAACGAGAACTGACACCGACAACGAGAAGAACTCCTCCATGGCAACAACAGTAACAACCAAAGAAGCTCCTGAGACCATCAAGACATCAAAGAAGTCGAAAATATCCCGACTGAGAGACTACAAATCACCGATTTAGACAACAATCCCAGCATTAACATCGTAAAAGTTAAGATCATTTATAAAATTTTTTTTACACACTGATGGCTCCTTTGCGGAAAAGTAAGAAAATAATTTGAAATGATAAAATTTTTCTCTCTCATTAAAAAATTTCGTTTTAACAAAAATTTAAAATTGTCAAAAACGAGCCAACAGTTTGTATAAAACAGTTAAAATCTAGAAATCATAAATAAAATTTAATTTTTTTTTCAAATATTTTCATATATAGTAGATAGTATAACGAAAAACAGTACATTTCTTTAAATTCTGAAAAAGTTTTGCTGCTTTATGACTCACAAGACCAAAGATAAAATTATCCTCGGCCTTGGGGGGACGAGTGGGAACAACGCAAAACCCCGATTAAATTTTTTTTCTCTTTATATAAAATTACTATTCATAAAATTTTTTTTTATTTCACTTTTTCATTATACTATCACTATAATTTTATTAACATATATTAAACAAAATTTTTTTCTTTATATATAATTATTATACTTTATAAATAATAACTAAAAGAAAATCGAGCTAACGTCACTCATAAATTTTTCAAAAAAAAAAAAAATTAAGAAATCATAAAATTTTTTTTCTATAATTCAAAACGATTATTTCAAACGTCTAATATTCAATAAGAATAAGTATAGGTAATTAAGAGGACAAAGAGAGTCATCTAATGGCAATTATAATAGAGCCGCTGCACACGTACTCACATATACCCATTGATCGAGCTATATAAACTCTCATTAAATTTCCTTTTCCTTTAAAATAAGCTTTTATTCTTTTGTTTTTTTTGCTTTCTTTTCTTTTCAACTTATTTTCTTTCTGTTATTATCTTTTCTCCACCTAAAGCTATTATCCTATTTCTATTTATTACTTATACTACCGTTACAACTACCTGAATCATTATGGTATAGGAGAGAAGGCATAGGCATTATATAAAAAAAAATTTAAACCAAATTTTTCCTGTTTTCTATATTTATTTAAAATACAATAAAAAGAAGAAGACAGAAGGAAAATTTTCCTAATATTTATATATATGTTCACTTATACATATAACGCAGAAGCAGAATAATCTGCCGTTTAATCTCCATTGCCAACCACCCGATATCATCTGATACGCCTAAAAGGAATAACAGCCCGAGAAAAAATGTTTCTATATAATCATATATAATTGTATATAATCATATATGATTATATATGGAATCACATATATAATTATATAGAATTATATATAATCATACATGATTATATATGGAATTGTGTATGAGGTTATATATAATTATATATGATTATATATGGAGCGATATACAACCATGCAGGATTATATATAGTTCCATATACAAATATATATAAGTATATAAAATTATATATAATCATACATGATTATATATGGAATTGTATATGAGGTTATATATAATCATATATAATTATATATGACTATATATAGAGCAATATACAGCCAAGCAAGATCATATATAATTATATATAGTTATATATAATCATACATGATTATATATGGAATTGTATATGAAGTCATATATAATCATATATAATTATATATGACTATATATGGAGCAATATACAGCTATGCAAGATTGTACATAGTCGAATGTAAAAAGTGTAAAATGATGTTTATAATTACGATTAAATAATTCTAAAATACAAAATTTGTCACATTTCCTACGAGATGTTTTGTCTGCTCTGCTACTACCTAATAGTAAAATCATTATTTATTTTATTATTTAAATAAGGGTTATATTATAATGAAATTCGGTAAGATAAATAAATTATGAATTATGAATATCCAAATATATTATAAAATCAATTTTTATATTATATTTATGATAAACTCATATGATACATTAAGTAGATCATAGAATCATTATTGTCTGAGATAGCAGCACAGCAGACAGAAACTTCAAGACGCACGGAGATAACCAAAGTTAAGCAGCATTGAGTAGGGTTAATAGTTGGATGGGTGACCACTGGTGTTATAGCCATAAAATTAGATCTAGATATTTTTTTTACATTTTGATCGGTTACACAGAATTGCGTAGGACCATATTAAATAATCTATCCATAAAATTAACCCAATAATTAATGAGATGTAATAAATCTATAATTAAATATTGGTATATATAATTATATATAATTATACATAATTATATATAATTAGATATGATTATATTGGGCCATTTTTCATATATAATCATATATAACCAATATATATATAAATATATATAAATATTTTTTCTCGGGTAACAAATTTCTTACGTTATAATTATTGAAATACTGGATATTTGCATCTACCATAAAAGATCATAATAATTTTTATCGTTGGTAGTAAATTAATATATAATAACTATCATAATCAATTCTATACATGTATTAATGACATCAAGTCCTTATTTAATAAAGACTTCTATTTCATCGTTAACTTTGATCATCTCTCAAATTATAATATATAGAATATTATAGAGTTGCTTAAAATATACTTTCATTAATTTTACAATAATGGAAGTAAAATTTCAAAAATATGATATTTAACCACTCTCTAGTGATTAGTATGCCGTTTTGGTCAGTACACAGTAAAAAATTTTTCGTTATTGTGTATAGTGTTAAAATGTTTGTGTAGAATTTAACATTTTAGTATGTTGATTCAACACAAATTGTGTAAAAAAAGTAATCAACACAAATTTTTGTGTTAAATTTGACGAAAAATTTTTTACTTTGTATTGGTTTTTTTTTTTTTAAATTAAAAGCCCTTGAGATAATGAAGGCTATCTCTGAAAATCTATTAAATTTACATAAATTTACATCTATTAAATCTATTAAAAATCTACATAAATTTTATGAAGCAATTATCTCTTCTAGATGATAGAGTAGCCAAATTTTTTCAACATGAATTAATAGTATTGTGTTTACTTATCTTCACAACAGGCAATGGATGAGCAGCAGTCTAAGGATATGAACAAAGAAAATAATGGCAATACCGGCAATATGACTGAAGAAAACAACCCCCATAAAGATTTCGAAACTAATGAAGATTCTCTGGTAAATACGAAAGATTCTATCGATGGTACTGAAACTAAAGCAACACAAAAAAATGATAAGGTTGGTAAAAATTTATTTTCAATAAGGTTAAAATTAAAAATATGGCCGTGAAGAAAGAGTAAAAATGAAATTGAATGGGAGAAAATTTCTTCATTTTTATAACTTTTACCTTTAAATTAACTCAATACAATCGTTAAACATTTCCAATTACTTTGTGATTGCCAAAGAATATTCGAATGTCAGGTTCAACATGATTCAAAATGATGCAATTTTGTACATACCTCTAAACAGAATTTAATTGAGAATTTTTGTATCATTTTCTGTTGATTATTTCATTGTGAATGTATTGGCATTTTAATTATTCTTCTTCTTATCTAGTCAACATTTACCGTTTTAAACTATTTTTTTCGATTTTAGAATCCAAAAATCTTCCATAATTCTAAACTTGTGGAAAAATCCATGACACAACTGGCAATCCCGAATACCGACAAATTAGACAATGAGACTCAAATCATGAATGATTCGCTTAAGAAGATGTCTGGAAATAACTCTAATTCTCAAATAATGAAATCTCCGAAAAAATCTTTTGCTGTCAAGCGATCAAGAGATGACAAAAAAAAAAACATAAAAAACATAGTAAAAAAGTAAGTGAAATGAAATAAAAGTTAACCAGTTTTTCATTACTTTTAATAAATTATTTAATAACTCATTACACAAGAATTTATCGAGTTAAAACTTCAGCTGAGTATCATTATTTTTAAAAATTCTCTAGTCCATTTACTTAGCTACAGCGCAGTAAAGCTTTTGTAGATGTTGATAAACCATTTCAAATGATTTATGAATATTTTTTTAAAAGAATAACGCGATTAAAAAAAAAAAAAACTTAAATTCAATGAGTGTTTTATGATAAAATAGAATCGATAATAATAATTATTTTGTTACAGCGAAAATCAGTAACAATAATGAAGGAAGAGAAAAGCCTTACACAGTATGTATCAAAATACCGCCATATACATTTTAGGAAAATCGTTGGAAATGAAATTTTTTATTGTTTGGAAAAAATTTATTTATTTGTATAGATTGTAATATTTAATAACTTGTAAATTAAGAAGTACTAGCTAATTGGACTCCACGAAAATTTTTCTTATTAGATATTAATTTTTCTTCCTTGAGTTTTTTCGATAAGTTTCAAATTTTTTCGAAATCAAAGAAAATCTTGAAAAAAGAACTTGATTTTTTACATAATTATTTTCATAAAATTTTTTGAAATTTTGTAAATAAATAGATTTTTTTAAAAATCGCATTTTCTAAAAAAAAAAAAATAAAAAGAGTTTTTATTGTTCTGTGATTCGATTAACTTAATATAAATTATAGGAAGAAGAAGTCCAGAATGATAAATCAATATCTTCGGAGCAAACTACTGCTAATACTGTTACAGAACATGATAATACTGATCCTTATGATAATTTGCCATTAGAAAATGCTTCTTCCTCGATTACTTCGAAGAAATCGCGGAAGAAGTTGCGCAAGGAAAAAACTAAAAAAACTGTAAGTTGATTATGAATTCTAGATTAAAAAATGAATCTACAAAATAAAATGTATATTCCAGAGCGATGATGTTTCTCAACAGCTATGTTTGGACATTAATAGAAAATTGGACTGGATAAAAGAGCATGTCGGGGGATTAGAAACGTTTGTTTCTGAAAAATTGACTGAGATTTCGGAAAATTGGAAGCAAGTCGGCCGTAAGTTATAATTTTTTAATACTTTTTTGAGCCAGTTATACTTGAAATCATTTTTATGAACATAATTCACAATAAAGTATTGAAAATAAGTATTGTTTTGAAGGTTTCGCCATTCAGAAAATTTTGTAAAACTAAAGTTTTTTACTTGAGAAAATCTTATGGAATATAAATCTTATAACCTGACTTCGTAGATAATCTAAGAAACTTTTGAGCTTACAAAGAGATTATGAGTCGCGACTTGAAATAATGGGATAATAAAGATTCTGTGGGAGATCTCAATTTTATTTTTCCGGTTTTACTACCTAGAAAATAGCTCAACCTGCTGAATATTTTCATAAAATCGCAAGTTTTCTATATTCGATAAAAATTTAATTTCATAAAAGAGAATCCAAAACAGTATTTTCGAAATTTTTTGTGATACTTTTAAATTTTTTTTACGAAGAGTAAAAATCTGAATAAAAAAAATTTATGCACATAATGGTAAATCAATGTATTTTTTGTCTTAAATATCTTAACTACTTCATAAATATTTTAAGTTGAGCTTTATGATTTTCTTCACAAATCACGATCTTGTAAAAATAATGATTTTAAAATTACCAAATTGAATGTTTTTTGATTCAAACATTTCTAGATACTCAATCAATATCTGCAGGAAATAATACAGGTTTGGATATTTCAAATATTAACCGCCCTCCTGCTGTAGGATACGTACGCGTCGATAATAATACGGTATTCTAAGTTCTTTTAATTTGAAACTGTCTTAAATGCAATAATTTCTAAAACTTTTTTTAAATAATGCTTCAGATTCATTTAGGCCAAAGTATATGGCTCCCAAAACAAACTTACTGCGACGTATTTTTCAGTGCAACTACAAATGTAATGTTCGTAAAAAATATTGCCATGGCTGTGTACGGCGCTCAATATTTAAAAGAACACAGCGTAAAGGGCAAAGCTTGTAACAAAACAAAAAGCAAGCCAAGGCCAGCCATTGATAATAAAAAAGCTCTGGCTATAAAAGGTACATTTTTTTAAATAATTTATATAGTTTTATTGCAATATCGCGTGAAAATTTTTCTCAAATTAATATATACAATTCATTTAAACAATTCTATAATTAAAATCTGTATACTATAAATTAAAATTAAAATGTTGTTTTAGAAATTTATGAATACTATTTGAAAGAAAATAAACGTTTTACTGAAGAAGAAGCGGCGGAGGAAGCAAATAATTATGAAGATTATATTAGAGGTAAAATATGTGATTTACGACGACCACGAACATCATCTAAAAACAAAAGTATGTTATCTGCTCTTTTTTATCTTAATTCTTCAAAATAAAATTTTTGATGATTTTTATATAGATGTAGAAAAGTTAACATTTCCATTTATATCATCTTTTATAGAAAAGGACAATGAAACTCAATCTAGCAGCCGTGGCAGCGGCAACGGCAGCGACAGCGGCGGCGGCGGCAGCGGCAGCGGCAGCGACAGCGGCGGCGACAGCGACAGCGGCAGTGGCAACGGCAGCTGCAGCGACGACAGTGAAGAAGAACCGTCAAACCAAAAAAAAGATAATACAACTCCAAGTGTTTAAAACAGTTTAATACTTAATTCTAAAAAAAACTTTTAATTTCTTTAAATTTAACTTATGTTAACTCTCATAATAACTTTAAACTTTATATATTGACTTAATCAAAACTTACTTTTTATTCTATATAATTACTGTCAGTTGAAGTTCACTGCTTTGAAGAACATTTAAATATGATTCTCAACTAAAAATATATGAATTTATATTCTATTTGTCACTGGTTACTCTAGTATAAACATACTGCTACCATGATATTTTACTTGGAAATTTCCAGCTAAATATCATTAAATCCATGATTTTATTTTATCTAGGCATTCTGTTTAGTATTATACGAATTTAAGATACTTGATACTTATTTACAAATAAAAACAAATAGGATTTGTTTAGTCCATCAGCTGGATACTCCAAATAAAAACTACTGCTAAAATGGCGTTTTACCTGCGAACTTCCAGCTACAAATTATTAAATCTAAGATAATATTTGATCTGGACATTCAGTTTTAATCCATATTGTATGTAGATGGTTTCTAGAGTTATTTACAGATAAAACAGATAGAATTAATTTAGTCCTTCAACTGGATACTCCAATAGAAAACTACTGCGAAAATGGCATTTTATCTGTGATCTTCCAGCTACAGACTATTAAATATAAGATAAAATATTTGATCCGGATATTCAGTTTTATTCCACATTATATGTAGGTGGTTTCTAAAGTTATTTCCACATAAAAACAGATAGAATTAGTTTAGTCTTTCAACTGGATACTCCAATAGAAAACTACTGCGAAAATGGCATTTTATCTGTGATCTTCCAGCTACAGACTATTAAATATAAGATAAAATATTTGATCCGGATATTCAGTTTTATTCCACATTATATGTAGGTGGTTTCTAAAGTTATTTCCACATAAAAACAGATAGAATTAGTTTAGTCTTTCAACTGGATACTCCAATAGAAAACTACTGCGAAAATGGCATTTTATCTGTGATCTTCAATGCATGCCTTTGATGCATTTCTGCAAAAAAAAAAAAAAAAAAAAACAAAGACAAGTTGAAGAACATACGTTCACTGACAGACGTTACTTTGACTATGAAATGAAGTTAGTTCATTCTGGAATCAATTTATCGGAATATCCTTAGGATTTTGTATGCGAAGCTAAGAAAAGACAAACGGTATAAAAAGTCTTAACAATTCAACAAAGTTCGTTCTATGTTAACATATTATTTACGATTGACTGTAAATAACATTTGCTAGGTACATAAAAGCTTCTCGACATTCATGGAACCACCACTTTAGATTTATAATGATTTTTTTTTACAAACGAGAAATGAAAGCCTGTTTTAGAAAGCAGTTTATTTCATTTAATTGATATAAATATGAGCCGTCAATGCAAAAATAAATTTTAAACCTTGATTTATGACCGTACAATATTCGGTTTGCCTGTATGTCTAATTGGCATAGGTTGCAAGTAAAAGGATTAGAAATAGCACAGGAGGAATTCCCACTACGGCCAGGAGAAGGACGACGTCACTGTTCGTCTTCCTGAAATAGAAGCAAAACATAATTTTTAGTGGTAGATATTTAACAATGAACAGATCGGTGACGAACGGAAACAGTTATGTCAAGGTCACGAAGTCGCTCAACGATGATTTGACCATCTTTAATAAGTTTTGGTAAACAAACTCAAACAAAAGCTTTGTGTTGGAGAGCGTCAAACTGAACGAGTTTGAGAAAAGGAACCCGTTAAACGAAACAATAAATGTCAGATAAATATGGCTTATACAACATAACAACATGTTGAAAAATATATTAACTAATCTAGAAGATTATATAGTTGCTTTATCACTTTGTTTATAATTTTTATACCCATGATCTTTCACTGAGATAAACCATGCTGCTGAGTTCAAACAAGTCTTGGCGTCGATATAATAAAAAGAAAACGCTAGGTACAGTTTTCTTTTGAAAAATAATTAACTTATTTGGAAAGTCCATTCTATTACTCACCTTTTCACAGTTGGTGTCAAGTAGTAGGTTGCTCTAAATTCACTTCGGTAAACTTGAATCTTGTAACCGTCCAATGAAATTCGGTGTTCAAGTGCGTTCCTGAAAATTAGTAAAAATCAATTAGTGAAAACCACTATCGTCACCGAATGTATGCTACATTAAGTGTCTTACGGATTATGAGGTTCTGGTCGCGGAACGTCGTTCATCGCTTCTATATTCTCGTCGTTCATATCAAAAACGACATCAATAAAGTATGAGCCCACCAGCTCTCTGAAACACGTCAAAGCACCTTTAGTTTTCCAATATATCTGTCACATGATATAATTAATCGAATAAAAAACATGCACTCTGTGAATACTTTCTCGAAGAAATATAGGATTCTATTTCCATCTTGGCGTTGAACCAATTTCGCAGGCGTGTTGAATACTTGCAAAATGACCGGTTTCCCCGCATTAACAGCATCCATCACTTGTTCAGCTAGTGGCACCAGAAATTTTTTAATCACGTGAGCAGGCCATTCTGCTGGAATTGCGATTGTGTCGGTCAGATTAACGTACCAAGTCACTAAACGATCACACATTCTCAAAAATAACCAACTATCAACTAACTTTAATCAATCCAAAATCTCGCTTTTATAGTAAACACTTACCAAGGACGTAATAATAATATAAAAATGTTAATTAAACCACGTAGACGTGCGTGGTTCTGTACGTATTACTTTTTTATAGCCCTGATTTATTACCAGTCGGATATCTTGTACAAAAACTGATGCGCTATAAAAACGATTACGAGACAATAAGCGTGGCTGTACATTTAACTTCAACTTCATTCCGTCATCACTGACATCCATTTGTGTTACTGAAATTAGTAGACTGACTGACGTCTGTGACGCAGAGATGAGTCAAACCTCACGATCAAGGGCAAGGTCACGCGTAACAAACGGCTGCTCCCATTCTCATTGCAGACAACGCTGTCTAATGACATTAATGCGATAAAGTGGCATGATAATAATGTTTGCTAAAAAGCTTGTATCAAATTTAACTAACATGGCCGTTCTAAGAATTGAATTATTGAACCTTGAGGCACTTCTTTGTTGATAAACTGCAGTTTATCCACATGCAGTTTATCCAGTTAACCATGGTTACTGCGCCAATCAGTGACTAAACTCATATCCTTGACTTGTCATTGCGCTTGGAGTTCATTCACCGAATGCCATGAAGGGGATGTGCTGCAGTTGGAACATAAAAATTATGTTTTTATTCTGCTTCGCTTCAGGCTTCAAATTTACTTTTTTTTTTTTGTAAATTTGCGCCACAAACATCTTGCTTACTTATAAATCAAAATTTAATTATTCTCAATGTATCTATCAAAGTATTGATTTAAGCCAATTGTTAGATATGGAAAAAAAAAGTTTTTTTTTGCGTATTACAAAGAATTGTAAATATTAAAATATTAAAAAATGAAACTTTCTCTTACTTAAGTTGAGTTAAATAAATTACAAGAAAATAATAATAATTTAAATCCTATTGTTAGTGATTTTTCTTGTTGATTGTCACATTTTTTACATCTCTTCTCTACTGCGCAGTAACATTGAATAAAAATGAAGGTGAAGGTGTAGATAAGCAGACACCCACCTGGCATACCGATCGAAATTCTGAACTAACCTACTACAACTTGTTTTTTATTAACATAGACCAAAAACTCAGCTATTAATAGAATTGTCAGCGCGTTAGCTGAACCATGCGATAATAAGAAACATTTAAAAGTCTAATTGTAGCTCGCTAAATAACAAGATTCGATAAATATGCAGTTTTTATAGAGCTCAAGGAATTTTTTATGCCGTGTGGAAATCATGGCGTGAATTTCTGACCAATGAAAAGTGAAGAAACGGCAAACCTTAAATTCCATGAGAAAAAGTTCTATGATGTCATTAGTTGACCCGTTATCAGTTGAGCTTGACCTTATCGCGTGATGTTCGTCTTTGCGAGTGGAATTATTTATCTGTATGTTTACTTGGCACGCATATATGTATTTTAATTTAATTTATCTTCCAACAAATTGAATCCTCCACCACAAATTAAATTGAAGCGATAACCTCATATAATTGAAATTATAATTATATAAATAACATCTTAACGATGTTTTTTATAAAAGTATGTTTGTAAGTAAAACTTAAGTAAGCGTAACGTAAATCGTAAAATTTTTGCAGAATAATTCTGAGCCAACTGAAATTTTAATTAGCTTGAACAAACGAACATATCAAAGACGTACACAATATTGTTAAATACTGTTGTCCAAAATGATGAATTTGTTTTACCATAAAATTGCAACTTATTGTATAATTTAATTAATAAAAACTCGAAACGTCGCGAAATAATAAACAATCTTCAATTGTTTTTTTGATCTTACGATTTCTCAAATATCAATATAATAATATATCAAAGTCATGTCCGATAAATCAATTGACATGTCCGATCTACGTTTTAGTATTCATTACGAAAGTTAATCTGTACATAAGAAGACTCGACGTGCGAAACTTAAATACGAGACAGATAAAGTAGAACACTTTTGTACCAGGTGGCTCAAATAATAAAACAGCCGACATGTCTTCGGAAGATTCTGGGTTCGAATCCCCGTCAAAATTTTTTCTCACATATTCTATAACTCCCACTGAATGTAGAACGCTTCACTGTTACGAGACCATAAAAATAACAATACGCACCTAATTAAATTCCGTAATAATGTCCGTCCAATAATACACGCAAAGATTGTTCCCACAACATGGTGGCTTGAGTTTCTGTTAGGAATACCATACGAACAAGCTGACGCAATTGAGCCATGGAATAACATTAAAAATTATGTTAAAATTAGACAGTAGTTAATTAATAGATATCAGGTTAATCAGACCACAAACGCAATGTTGACAATTACTTCACACTTTATTGCAACGTTTCGTCGAAAATCTCGACTTCTTCAGGCAATCTACAAAAACATACAATACATTAATAATTTTTTTCCGTCACAATTACAAATTGTCAAAACATATCAGTCATAAATATTATTCTTTTATATGAAATAGATATAAAATATAAATTACAATTCAAATTTCAAAATTACATAAATGTTATTATAAAATTTTTTCCTATATACTTAGATAAAATAAATAAAACAAATGGGTATGGGTAACCCTGCTAGCCCCTCAATTGCTAACCTTGTTATGCAACATGTATTGAAGAATGTTGTGAAGGATCTTCCGTTCGCAGTTCCATTGTTGGGTCTTTACGTGGATGACACGATTCTAGCAGTACCTGTGTCAGAGAAAAATAATCTCCTAGGCTACTTCAACAGCTATCATCGAGATATTCAGTTCACATTGGAGGTAGAGGAGGGAGGCAGAATTGCGTTTCTAGATGTTTTGGTGATAAGACAGCCTGATGGTAGTCTAATCACTGACTGGTACCAAAAGCCAACAAGCGCAGGTAGAATGCTTAATTATAATTCACATCACCCAGTAGCTCAAAAATCCAGTGTAGTTTTTGGTCTGTTGCATAGGGCATTAGGACTAAGCCATAAGAAATTTCATGATGTCAACAGAAAAAGAGTTGAGGATTTGCTGAAACGTAATAATTATCCGGTATTTTTCATTAAGTTATGTATGGAGAAATTCAATAGTTTATATAGCAGAGAGATGGGTAATGGTGAGGATGATAATTTAGAGGTGGTCGTAGATCTGGATCAGAATGTAAAGAAAAATGAAAATCGGTTTCGGTTTCCATATATTAGACGTTTATCATCTTCCATTACGCATTGCTTTGCAGATACGGATTGGAAGCCGGCATTTTATAATATCAAAACTGTTGGACAGACTTATACTAGACTTAAGGATACTGATAAATTATTGAATCGTTCGAATGTAATTTATAAAATTCCGTGTGTTTGTAATAAATCGTACATTGGTCAAACGAAACATTATTTAGGTAAAAGGCTCTATCAGCATAAGTATAGCTGTAGAAATAATGTGAATAATAATAATAGCAATAATAACATAAATAATTTGACAGCTTTGTCTTTACATCATCGGGATACAGGTCATCAGTTTTGTTTTGATGACGTAAAAATTGTAGACATAGAAAAGAATAGATTTAAACGCAACATCTTAGAAATGATTCACATTAGTTTGAGAGATACTGTTAATTTGAAAACTGACACGGAAGGGTTAAATTGCATTTACGACAATTTAATTTTGAGGTATAAAAATAAAAATAGAGAGTATGGATAATTATTTGTAGATTGTAAATAAGCGGTTGAAGCCGGCAGATCTGCGCATGCGTGTGAGTGTGTTCAGTCGTGTCAACTTACTGAGAGTGTACAGCTGTTTATAATTTTGTTGTTTAAAATTGTACAATATTATTGTTATTAATTGGTATTTTTTCACATATTAATTGAGTAATAATAATTAAGAAGGAATTATATAAGTACAATAATAAGAAAATCAAATGACTATGAATGAGTACGAAAGTAGCAAGATACATCAGAAGCATGCGTATGCTTAACCTGATTCCAGCAGGGCCTTTTTATAATAACAACGTGTTGATACTCTTGTCTCATGGTATGTTAATGATCTTGTTATGTAATTATAATTTGTTTTATTTATTTTGTCTAAGTATATAGGAAAAAATTTTATAATAACATTCATGTAATTTTGAAATTTGAATTGTAATTTATATTTTATATCTATTTCATATAAAAGAATAATATTTATGACTGATATGTTTTGACAATTTGTAATTGTGACGGAAAAAAATTATGAATGTATTGTATGTTTTTGTAGATTGCCTGAAGAAGTCGAGATTTTCGACGAAACGTTGCAATAAAGTGTGAAGTAATTGTCAACATTGCGTTTGTGGTCTGATTAACCTGATATCTATTAATTAATCATATATAGTTATACATCGTTTTATATAATAGTTGAGATAATTTTTATATCATTAAATATAACAACGCAAAATTATATATTATAATATAAAATTTCATATAATTATGCAAAATTATTTGTAATTCTACATATTTCTATAGAAAGTTTTAGCTATTTTTGTATAATTATGTAAGAGTATGTATAATTGCTTATAATTATGGAGAATGATATAAAATTATAAATAATTATATAAAATGATGTATTACTTTAAAAATTTATGGATGATGTTCTTCGTAATTTTTGTATAATTATAAACAATTATGAATAATTATATCAAATCATATTAAATTATATGATATTATAGATAATGATTTTTTTTATGTTTTTCGTATGATTAAATGAAAATCATACTAAATTTTCAAAGTTGAAAAAAGTGATGACAAAGATTACTTTTTTATTAACAATGATTTTATTTTTAACTAGCATTTACCCGCTCGAGCGATCGATCGCGTTGAAGTCCTTCCATAAATATCAAAGATCATTACATTCCAATAGAACTGAATTTTCTGACAAACAATTTTTTTATCTTCCGTAAAAAATGCATTTTTTTATTCGATAACAAGTATCCTATGTTACTTCAAATACTTCCAAGAATATGTGTGGAAAGTTTCATGATGATCGGTTAAGTAGTTTTTTGCGTGAAAGCGTAACAAACAAACTTACATTCACATTTATAATAATAGTAAGGATTTAAATCCAATTTTAAAATAAAATTACCAAATTCTCTTTGAATTATCTGATCTCTTACATAAAAAATCTCTTATTCTCCTACTCTTAATAACTGAAAAACACTTTGTATCTCTCAATTTTATTAACAAGTAATTTTCAGATTCTGTAACTGGTATAATATGTTTTACTACTGCTTGCATATTTAAATTACTGATCATTTTATTATGTTCAACTTTCAATTCTTCAATTAAAAAATACAATTCATTTTCTATAGAAAACAGATAATTTCTATAGAAAACAGATAATATAAAAATTAACAATAGTCAAAATAAACAATCTATTAAAAATGTACTGCTTTCATTAAGTTTTATAGGATTTTTAGAAATTTCATAAAATTTATGTGTAAATCTGATCTTTCTTGGGTTTGAATTCAAACATATTCAATAGATTTTGTCATGTACAGTATGTGATTCAGACCAGTGAGCAGCGTGCAGGACTGATAACCAGGAGGAGTCGAGTTCGAACTCAGCGGACGCCCGAAATTTTTCATCAAACAAAATAGTTTCTGATTACTACATCATACTCCGAATCGCATTGGTTTCAATATAATTAAAAAAAAAACAATTTTTTTATCCATTTTTGAAAAAAAAATTAATATAATTATATATAATCGCATATAATTATATATAATTGGATATAATTATACATGATTATTAGGGCCAGGACTTTCGCAGTTGCTTGAATGAGCATTCATATGTTTAACCTTAAATTTGAACAAAGAAAAAACGCCAACTTCCAGGCCCTAATGATTATATATAATTATGCCGGGCCATTTTTTATATATAATCATATATAATTATACCCAATTATATATAAATTTTTTTACCCGGAAAAACCGTTATTTTTTTCTTAAATTAATTTTATGCATTAGTTAATACTTATGAATAAGAAAGTTAGGTGTTAAATTAGGTATCAAACTTCCGAAATTTGAGTCAGTGCTACATAAAATGGAAAAAGAAAATAAAACAAATAATAGATCAAATTTTTGAAGTTATACTTCTTATGGGGTGTTAAGAAAAAATGATGAAAGTGAATTTTTAACGATGCGCGCGCTCACCGACACCCGAAAACCGACATGATGAAGTTTATACATAGCTGACAACTGTCTCTCAACCTTCCGTAAAAACTGATTGCTATATTCAAAGTAGTTAGTCCAATACTTGTAATTTTCCAATACTTGTTTTATATCAGGGGAGTTGAAAAATTATATTCATTTATAAATATAATATACACATGTGTACAATCGTGGACATTAGTTTAAGTCGGTTTCTGAGCTTAAAGATTTATCGCCATCAATAAATTTGGCAGTTTCTAAACTCTAAAATTAGAAAATATGAAATTTTCCAATTTGCAAACCATAAAAAATGAAATTAAAATTTAAAAAATATAAATAAAATTGTTTTTTATATAAACTCCTCAAAACTGGTGAACCAAAATATCTAAGAAATCTCTTTGTGGATGAACCCCTAGATATCAGAAAATCTAAGAGAATAGCCGCCAAATATAACAATAATTTCAAAATTCCAAACATCACCAGCTTAGTCTACCCGGGTAAAAAAATGTATATATACTTATATGTTATTATATATTACTTATATATAATTATATATTACTTACATATAATATATGATTATATGTAATTATATATAATTATATATAATGATATATAATTGGATGCAGTATTTTTTAATAATCATATATAATTATATACAATTACATATAATTATATATAATTGCATATAATTATATATGATTATATATAATAGTATATAATTAGATGTAACATTTTTCCAATAATTATATATAATTAGATATAATCATATCTAATTTTATATAATTCTATAGAATTGTACAAAAGTTACAAACTTTATTATATACAATTATATGAAATTATATATGATTATATAAAATTATATATAATGATATGTAAACTGATAAAAGGATTTATTAACTATTAGAAATTTAATTTGTTTGAAGACAATTTTTTAATTTATTAAATTTTAATTAATATTTTTTAACATTCAATAAATATTTATTTGGGAGGAAAGTACATTTATTAATAGTTAATAAGTATTTATTAATAGTTAACAAATATTTGTTAACTGTTAACAATTATTTATTAACATTTAATGAATCGTATTTAATAAATAACTAGAAATTTGAATAGCGCGCTATGCACGGGCCTAAATTTTAACCAATAATGAATCGTGGCCGGTTTTTTTGCGAGTTTTGACCTTTGACTAACTTCAAGACTATCATGTATTTTAATTTAAAGGATTTATTAACTGTTAATAAATATTAATTAAATCCTATGATGTTAAAAAATCATTTATTAATAGTTAATAAAGCTTATTAAATATAAAGAAATCCTTCTATCAGTGCAACTATACGGAAATCATATATCCAGATTTTTTTTCCACTTTTTCTTAGTTAGTACAATAGCAGCATTCATATAAATTAACAATCTTTTTTATTTTTTTGTTTCAGATCATTAGAAAGCTCGCAATCGTGACAAGATTGGCGCGCCATTTTTTTTGTACCCCCCCCCCCCCCACTTTAACACCATATAACTTTTTCAGTTTTGTATTGACAGCCAACTGTCAATAGTAAAATTTCTAAATGAATTCATTTTTAAAAATGAACATGTAAAAATGAACACCCAAGTAAAAAAGTTTTTATACAATTAGATACAATTATGTATAAATTATATATTTGTCACACGAATTTTATTCCTGTGTGCGTCCCTCCCTGCGCCTAGTGTTGGCAACAGATCCACACTCGGTGTGTCTCATAGTTTTAAGATTTTCATATTAATTTATTGATTTATATACCGTATATCATTTTTATTGTATATATTTGACAATTTATATACTACGGTTATTTGTTTTTAAGCAATAATTTTGGTATTTATTTCAGCAATTGTATTGGAATGTTTATAATTTATGATTTCATTGTATATTAATTATTGATAACCAGTCGTAGCCCTTGCTCGCGCGGGTAATTTCCTGTAGTATCGATGGCGAGCACAGGAATCAATAATTTCAGAAAACGACTTGAGAGGCCCTCGTATTCGGACACGAGGTCTGATAGCTTTTCAGAGAATAAAAATCGGGAGACACGCGGCAACCTGCAAAGTGTAAGAGTGTGGATCTAGCGCCTTGTTCGAGTTTCCTTTTTTTGGTGAGTACTCACAAGTTGAGCCATATTACTCACAAGTTGAGCCATATTACCATATCCACGCACTGTGTTGTCTCCTGGCGAGTAAAGTATTGTTAAAAAGCGTTGTTAGAGTCAGCCAAAAGGGTTTGTTGTTTCCCTAAGGAAAAGAACAACTGGCGTCCAAGAAGATCGTGCACTAACCCAGCCTGAGGAAGAGCTGCTGGTTGCTTGGGAGGCGAAGAGTTCCCTCCCAAGTCATATTTTTGTTTGTTTAGTTTTGTATTGGGCGACCTGGACAAAATCACATATCCGCTGACCGCTCCACTGTCAGCTGGAGTGTAATTTTTGTTAGATGGCGCCCAACGTGGGGCCAGGGCGTTAGAGATTAATTGATTGATCCATCTGCAGCGTATTGT